CGAAGAGGAATCAATGAGCATAAACAACTTGTTCAAGAAATTTGTGAAGGAAAAAAGAGAAATAGGGTAGCAACTGTAAAATGGATTGGAGTTGGAGGGCATATTTTGGGTGATCTTTTTATTTTAAACATGTTAGAAACTTGAAAATGTTTAAATGTTAATGGAAAGGAGCCAGTAAAGATAGAGGGGAGGACACAAACTAAACGAAGTTTCTAGCAGAGAATGGCGTCTGAAGCAGATGTATAAGATAAGTTGGAGGGAATTTCTTTCTTTTTCTGTGTGTGTGGGTGTGTGTCTGTCTTTCTGCTAATGAGAGTCTGCATTTTTCATTTCCACCCGCAATTTATGAGGGCTCTAATTTCTCCATATCCCCACCAACACTTAGGATTGCCTGTCTTTTGCATTATAGCCATCTTAGTGGCTGTGAAGCGCCATCTCATTGTGGTTTTGATTCACATTTGGGGGCATTCTCTTCTGAGGTCACCTATTTTTCCCTGTGAAGAAAGAGGGACGGCTTTCTGTTGAGGGGACGTAGCAATAGAAAATGGACTGGAGCAATTAAAAAAAAAAAAAAAAGGGTGGAAAAATCTGAAGCCAGCCACCTAGAAGGATAGGAAAAAGCACTGACCAGGGAAACCTAAGAAGATGCTAAGATAGAGCCTAACGGAAGCTGGAGACCATAAGTCTATAAAGGCAGCCATCTGATCTCCCGCGAGACTTTCTTCTCCAAGAAAGAGGTTTTTTTAAAACTGACCTAACAGAATTGGAATGGAAAGTTGCTCAGAGGACTTTCTCCTTTAAAAGAAATGACAGAGGTGCTACTGAAAAATCCATCATTTTGTTTGTTTAAAGTCCTGTAACATACACATTAGAAATAACAGTTTACGTAAGATTCACTCTCCTTGACCCTTGAGAACAAAGCACCTCTCATACACGCGTTCACTGCAGCAGATCTTATATCCGTACTGCAAGGACTTACAATCACAGTGCTAACTTCATCAAATGACAAACTGCAAGAAATAACACATACCCACTGTCCCAATAATAGATTTTTTTTTAAATATTTTATTTTCCCTTTTTCTTCCCAAAGCCCCCCAGTACATAGTTGTGTGTTTTTTAGCTGTGGGTCCTTCCAGTTGTGGCATGCTGGACGCCGCCTCAGCAGGGCTTTACGAGCAGTGCCACGTCTGCACCCAGGATTCAAACCAGCGAAACCCTGGACCACCGAACGAGAGCGGGCAAACTCAACCACTCGGCCACAGGGCCACTCCTAATTTCTTTAAAACATTTCAGATAATCATATCACTACGTGTTAACTTAAGATTGATCATAACAATCATATATACAAATAATAACCAAGTACACAAAAGAAAATGATTTTTGACTTAATCAGTTACCTTGTAGGGTATGAGATATAGCTACAGCCTTTGGTTTAACTAACTCAATAAATACATCTCTACGTAATATGCAGTAAAGATTTATTTTGGGTTTTTTTTGTTTTGTTTTTTTTGAGGAAGATTAGCCCTCAGCTAACTACTTCCAGTCCTCCTCTTTTTGCTGAGGAAGCCTGGCCCTGAGCTAACATCCGTGCCCATCTTCCTCTACTTTATACGTGGGACGCCTACCACAGCATGGCGTGCCAAGCGTTGCCATGTCCGCACCCGGGATCCGAACCAGCAAACCCCGGGCTGCCACAAGCGGAATGTGCAAACTTAACCGCTGCGCCACCGGGCCGGCCCCTGCAGTAAAGATTTAATTAAAGATTTATCATTAACACATGCTACTGTATATGTTGACTACAATTCTGTGCTCAGGGATCACATCTTGGGACTGATATCTGTGAATGAGATTTATACCTAGGGTTTTATGGCACAAGGCGCTATGTTGCTCTTTCAGTTATCTTTTGCTGGGTAACACAGCACCCTAAAACTCAGTAACTTCAAGCAATAACAATCTATTCTCTCAATTCCATATTTTGACTGCACTCAGCTGGAGCTACTTATGAGGTCACAGGCACTGGGACCTTGACTAGGGCTGAAACAAGCCTCACTCACACACCTGGGCCACTCCAGGTGGTTTCTCTTTCTCCATCTGGTCGGGCCCAAGCTTGTACACATGTTGATTGGCTTCCAAGAGAATGAAAGCTAAAGCTGCCACGCTCTTAAGGACTATGCCCAGAACTGGGCACAACATCACTTGCGCCACATTCTATTAGTCAAAGTAAGTGAAAAGCCTAGCCTATGCAGCAGAAACAGACTCCATCACTTGATGGGAGGAATGGCAGCCAAGGACAGGGATGGGAGGAATTGCTGGCAGCAGTCTTTGGAAACACTCGACCATAGCTGTAAACAGTATTACTGGATGTTTCCACTATACCACTTGAGCTCAGCACTGAAGCACTAGAGAGGGGACAGACTTTATCTCCAAAATTAGAACTTTTTCTTACGCATCAAAAAGAATATCTCAGCCAAGATATTCTTTTGCCTCAGTGGAATGCTAACCTCAGAAAAGCCACGGAATCTTCTTTTCTGGGGTTGTGGGAAGGACAGACACCATCCTTCAGGAACGGTCTGAGTATAGTCTCACCTAGATGGGATTCATCATCTCCTGAAGTCATTTCACACCTTACAATTGATTATGTATGCACACATATAAGCTCATTTTTTAAAGTGTATCTAATACTAAAAAATATAGAGGTAACCCCAGCTACTGGAACTCTTGCTATCCAACTCTATCTAAACTGAAGAATCAGATGTGGCTAAATTCTCCAATACTCAAACTTTGGCTCTCCTAGACTCAGGAATGAAGAAGATATGGATATCACACTCTCTCCTACAATCTGAAATCTATCTGAACACAGGAACCAGTAAACTTGTAGCATAAAGTACTTATACACCAGTGTAATGTATCAACTGTTGTAACCTTTAGATGGCATAATTACAGGTGATGTACATTCGTCTTCATGCTTCTGTATTTTCTAAATTCTTTCATTCTTGCAAAATTTAAAAAAATAAGTCTATATTGTGGACCTAGTGGATTTGGAAAAATTTTTTAAATTAAGTCCATATTGTGGGTCAAATACATAACTGATGTAGATAATTATTTGGCTAACTGACCTCCTCTAGGAAGTCTATTCTGGTTAAACTCAGCCAACATTTATCATACACCTCCTGTACATTCCTCAACATTTACACAATATGTAACATGTTTAGTTTTTTTTTTTTAAACCACAGAATATTTAAAAATGTGTCCTAATGTCCTGGCTGGACTCCTTGAGGGCCCAAACTTTGTTTCCCATACATAACTTAGTGTTTAACGTAGTACACACAGAAGGAATAGTATAATAAGGTCTTTGACTTCCCTTCACAGTTTCATCTTCCCCACTGTGACTTTCAGATAAAGGAGGACACTGTCTCAGACCTCCCAGCTTGAGCTGTTGATTATTAAGATGGAGCCAAGCCTTTGCTGGCACATATACTCACTCTTTAATTTAAAAAATTTAAAGGAATTTTTAAGTTGCAAACTTGATAGCTTCGGTTTTTAATGGCTATTTGTTTTCTGAAGTTCCCTGAACTTGATCATTTGAAGCGCACACATAAAAATCACTGTAGAAGAAATCCCTTTAAAGATTAAGGTCCTTCCTCTTCAAGAGAAACAGACTAGCCAGTAGAAGAAAAAGGACCTACCTAGAAGTATTAATAAACAGACTGGTATTAACAGGAGGGATTAAAAGACAGCGATCTCACAGATTAACTGCTATACGTATTAAGACAATCTAAATATACAGTTACATACTCAACCCTGAAAGCAGTTCAAAAAGGTGAAATTCAACCAGTGCTCATTTCAAATGGAAATTTTCTCAAGCTTAAAACAGACTACACGCTGCCATTCCTTTCAGCTTTATATACCTTGGATGTTTTGATGTTACTAGTCCACAACGCACACGTTTCAGAAACTCAGTTTTTGCCTCCAAGGGCTATAATCCTCCCCCAAAAATAATAGGTCAAAGACAAATAAGACTTTGAATCTGATTTTTTTTTTTTTACGATTATAACATTGCTTTATAAAACTGTAATCCCCAGCTGGAAAGAGTTCTGCAGCAGATGACTTCCGAATGTCTCACAGGCAAACAGATATAAACAAAAAGCCACTTACGAAAACAGAGCGTGCCTCGATGGTCATCTTAAATAAAATACAGCAGGTAGGTTATCCAAGTCAGGACAAGAGAAATGTCATTTCACTCAGTTCACCGTGCTCCTGGATAAAGGTCCCTACTAAGCGAATACCCCTTGGGGATTCCGTGTTGTGGAGGAAAGGGAAACTGAAGAATATGGTTTGTGACACCACCACCCTCCGGAGGAGAAGGAGGAGATGCTAAGATTTGGGAGAGAGCCGAATGAAGGTGGGGAGCGTCGGAGGGGAGGTCTCTCAGCAAAACAGCACCTAAAGCAGGGACTGACTTCAGCTATTAGCAAAACTGCGTCCATGCAGCTCAAAAAAGAGAAGGAGCAGGAAAAGTTTCCCTAGCCTCTCCCCACCCTTTACCTCCTCCTCTGGGAGGAAACGCAAGCTGAAGTACCAATGGAGCCTGGCCCGCGGCCCGATCACCCGCCAGGACGCCGCGCCCCGCGGGCCGGGGAGAGGGACGGAGGGAGGGAGGAGGGAGGACGGAGCAGGAGTAACGGGGCGCCGGGCCGAGGAGAAGGGCAGGTGCGGGAGGGCCTCCGCGGGCTCGGCCTCGCGCCCCCCTGGCTACCTGGGAGGCCAGCCGCTGCCGCGCGCCGTCCAGCCGGGACCTGCCGCCGGGAGCGCCGCGGGCGTCGGAAGCCCTGCGGGCCGCAGAGCCACTAGCAAGCGGGTTGAGCGGGAGACGCTCGCGGAGCAGGAGGCGCGGGAGGCGGGGCGCCACGGCCCGGGGCCGCCAGGTCACGTGGCCCGGGCCGCCCCACGTGACGCCGACGCTGCGCGCGGGCCGGCGCTCGGGGAGGCCGTGCACCCGGCCCCGCCCAGGGACCTGCCGCTCGCGCCTCGGCTGCTGGCCGGGACTTCGCTAGAAGCCGATTGGCCGTCCGAGTCCAGCCCCCAGGTTCTGCAGAGAGTCGCGGAGGAGCTTGGTGGCTGGTGGCGCTCGCAGGGTTTGTCTCTCAGGGAACCAGGGACGCGCTCCTGCCGTCCTCCTGGGCCAGCGGACCAGCCCTCCCCACCCCCAAGGGATCCAGGGCTGAAAAGCGCCTGGAAACTCCTCTACCTGATCCGTCGCGCGCCCTGCGCATTCTAGGCACTACCCAGGGGTCTTTGCCGGGGACAGAGGGCCTCGGAGGAGAGACTCGTTTAACTCCAGAGACGTAGCCCCTCTACCCACCTACTGGTCGAAAAGCGCCTAAGTAAGGCCAGGGGATGGGGAAGGCGGCAGCTGCACCAAGACCAGAAGGAAGGAGGGGGCTGAGGAACCGCGCCCAGGTGGTGGAAGGTAGGCAGAGGCACCTTGGAAGCGGGCTGTCTAGGTTAGAAGGGACCAAGAAGGCAAATGACTCAACACTTTTTATAAATGAGTAACTGAGGCCGGGAAAGGGGATGCCTCATGCCGATCCAGCCTATCATCTGTTGAGATCACAGTCATCTTTATCAAATACTGTACAACTGTCTGAAAACGCCCAGTTGGCTCCACAGGACAAGTCCAAACTTAGTGGCATAATTTTCCAAACAATCTTGTTCAAACTTACTTTTCCCATTTGAGTTCCGGTGAGTAAACAGGAAAACATTTCCTTTTCTAGGTGTCACCAAACAGCTCAGCTGATGTACTGGAAGAAGCTGTCTTTTCCATATCTTCTGGCACTGCTTCAACGCTACTCTAGACTCTGGCTACAGAGAATTCCTGTTTTCCCCCAGTACTCAGCTTTCTTTACATTACTTACTTTTTCCCTAAGTTGTTTTACTCCTCTTTGCGTTTGTTCATTCTTTTGCCTCTGTCTGAAATGCCCTGAATCACTGTGCTATTCTCCCATAAAGAAAACCCAAGATGGACAGTAGCTAAAACAGTAAAAACAGATTTTATTCAGGAGCTATTGCAATAGAGAAAAATAGACCTCGGTATAGAATTGGGCTCAATTCCCCTGTCGTAATAGTTGCGAATAAAATTTTTACTGCTTTACTGTCCAACTCTGATTTTCTTTAACAACCCCCAAAGTACACATCAGTCTCCTACTCATCTCTCAAAATCAAGGTCAGATACCACCTACACTTATTTTTCTTCTGTGGCTCCTTCTCCCTGATTGAACAGCTTTAGCAACTCAAGTTCATTAGGACAGTGTCAGCTATAACTTCTTTGGTTTCCAAGACACTGTACATAATCTGATACCTAAGTCTCATATTGCCCAGGAATGTACTGTACGTTTCCTGTAAGAGGTAAATTGCCTATTGCGGTCTTCCTCTCTAGATTATAAATTCTCAATCAGGACTTTTGGGCTTAGCACAGTGCCCTCAGTAGCTGCTGAATGGGGGTCCATGTGGTAGACCCTCGGTATCCACTGAGTGAAGTGGCTTGACCAAGGTTGTAGCAGATCGGTGATTTTACTGAAAGGGGCCTACTTTGGTCAAGGGAACTGAAGTCAGTTCTTTTAGGCCACAACCTGATCAAAAGAACTAATGTAAACATGTGTGTTTGAGTCATTAAATATTTCCTGAGCACTCACTGCTTATCAGGTGCCAGATGCCATACTTGGAGCATCTTGGAGGATAAAAAGTTGGATAAGACATGGTTGCTGATCTCAAGGAGTGTATATTCTGGTTCTTTCTTCCAGTTCAGGGTGAAAAGTTTCCTGATACAGAATGCTAAGCGAACACAAATGAGGGACCACGAATTAGATAGGGGATCAGGGAAAAAATTCCTGGGAAGGTGAATTTGGAGGACAAGCAGTAGTTAGATGAAGGAGGGAGGGAAATACCTTCCAGAAGATCGAGCAGTATGTTCAGAGGTAGAGAGGCGTGAAACAGTGTTATTTATTTAGGAAAAGCAAGTAACCCGGTATGGCTGGACTTGGTGACCTCATTTACCTCTGGGACAAAGGAAACCTAATTAGGTTAACATCCATGTACTTCAAAGAATGGCATATCTAATAGTACTAGTATTATTTATTGGATTTGAGTAACTTTCCATCAGACAAATCATCGGCTCTTCACCTAAAATTGGCCCGAACTAGTACTAGGTGATTTTTCACTTTTTTTTTTCGGCTCCGAAAGTTCTCTATAAATGTTACCTAAAAATAGCAAAATTACTTGTTCCAAACAAGATTATTTTAGAGCACTCTAAACTTTTTCTACAGGGCAAAAGAACTCAATTTACAAGTAGTGCTTTAAGGAAGAAACCAGGCTCTACCTCCAGTGGGGGGAGTAGTGGGGCGGACTACTCCTCTTAGTGCTAATACTCGACTATGCTGGTAAAAAGGATCTGTCAAGAATCTCATAAAGTACAGTTAATGTAAGGTGGAGAAGGACATAGGAGAACGATTCTGATCACTCTTGGGAGCTTCAGAATTTCTTTTCAAAAATCAATCTCTCAGTAAGTGGAAAATCAGAACATCGTCTTTTGTTCCCTTTTCCTCCACTGTGCCCGTCATCTGTGAGTGTCCGTTTGGGCAGATGTGGGTCAGCCAATCCAGCCCAACTTCCTTCAGTTGGACCATCTAATGCCTGATTGTTTGTACCTCTTACACAATTTTCTCTAACTCCTGACTGAATCCACCTCTTACACAATTTTCTTTGCCAAGAACGTCTGGAGGTCCCTTAGGCAGACACTTATTTTTCATAGGCCACTGGAAAGTCCTTGATATTGGGCGAGCACAATTAAAAGGAATTTCATTTATTTCCTCCAAGACATAAATGTTATTTCTTCTGAGAGAATGGAAACAGCTGGGAGCAGCTGGATTATCTCCAGCTTTTCTTCCCTGCTCCTTCCTTCCTCTTGGGGTTGGTCAAGATTGAGCAAAATAAGCCAGAGAACCACCAACTCGTGTAATGGCTAAATAGGGAAGAGCTAGGTCACTATGTAAGATTGTTTACCTGTTTCTGCAATACACAGTTGGGAAATCTGTTCTGACAGTCTCAAAAGCCATATGGTTATTTTTGGTAATTGAGGCTGACATAACTGTTTTAGGATTTGCAAATGTAATAAAATATAGAATCTATCTAGAGGGAGAAATCACCTTGATTTTCAGTTAACTTAACCAAACAGGTAAACATAATCAGTCACAATAAGTTTTACAATCTCGATCATTATTGGTCAAACTACTTTGGGGAGAATTTCTGCTCTGACAGTTGGGATAAATAAACGTGGCATAAAACAGAGGGGGAAAGGATTGAGAGAAGTGATAATGGAGAATTGGAAAAGAATTTTTATTCTCATTCCTTTTTTCCCTCACACCAAGAGCCAGATGAATTCCCTTTGCTCACCATGCAAATGCATTAAATAAACAAACAAGGACAGGATAACAGTCTTCTTGGGGGCAATGTTGCAGGCTACAAACTGAAACCCTTTGTGATCTGGCACAGTGAGAACCTCAAGGCCTTTACAAATAACAATAAGCACTCACTGCCATTGACTACAGGAGAAATAAGAAGTCACGGATGACCCTGTTCCTCTTCCAAGCTGCCTCCTGAATTGCTATGCCAGAGAAATGGAGAATAACACACCTTTCAAGATTTCGCTTATTTTGATAAAGCTCCCAGGCAACCTCCTTTTGTTGGTGTTCCTCATCCCAATATCAAAATGGTGTTTCTTCCTCCAAACACTACTTCTTTGATCCAACCAATGGATCAAAGAGTTATAACAGCTTTTAAGGCCTGCTACCTGAAGAGGACCTTTGTCCAGACTATTGCTGCAACTGAGGGAGAACTGAGAAGACACTGAGGCAATTCTGGAAGGATTACAACATCTATGACCGCATCAAGAACCTTGCTTGTGCGTGGGGTTATGTCACCAAGGAGTGTATGAATGGCATCTGAAAGAAGTTACTTAAGAGGTTCATTCATGACTTCAAAAGATTTGCCAAGGATGAGGAGGTTGTAAAAATCAACAAGGCTGTGGTTGAGACGGCAGACAACTTTACCCTGAGTGTGGATGAGGATGACACCGAGGAGCTCCTAGAGGTGGCTCCTGAGGAACTGACTAATGAGGAAGTGTTGGAACTGGAACAGGAGTGCGTAGCTGAAGAAGAGGCAAGAGAAAAGGAAACTACAGGAGAAGAAAGAGAAGAACCCACAGTGACAGGGTTTAGCAGGAGCTTTTGCAGACCTCAACAAGCTCCTTAAAATGTGTGAAAACATAGACCCCAACACTGAAAGGTTTTCATTCGTAGAGAGGAACGTTCACGGTGCATTACCTGCTTACAAGCAAATCTATAATGAATAAAAGAAACAAACCAAGCAAACCACCATGGACACATTTCTGAAAAGAATGACACCTTCTCAAGAAGAGCCTCAGGCAGGTTCTTCAGGAGAAGAAGGCATTGTTAGCACAGGTGATGACAGCTCCATGAGTGTTACTGTCCCTGAAGACCTTCCAGTGGGAGAAGATGTGGAGGTGGAAGCCAGTGATATTGATCATCCTGACCCCTGTGTAGACCTAGGCTAATGTGTGTGTTTATGTCTTCATTTTTAACAAAAAAGTTTAAAAAGTAAAAACATAAAAAGTGTTAAAAATGGAAAAAAGCTTATAGAATAAGGATGTAAATAAAGAAAACATTTTTGTACAGCTATTCAATATGTTTGTGTTTTAAGCTAAGTGTTATTACAAAAGAGTCAAAAAGTTTAAAAAACTTTAAAAGTTTATAAAGGAAAAAAGTGACAAGCTAAGTTTAATTTATTATTGAAGAAAGAAAAATATTTTTTATAAATGTAGTATAGCCTAAGTGTACAGTGTTTATAAAGTCTACACTAGCGTACAGTAATGTCCTAGCCTTCACGTTCACTCATGGACTCACCTGGAGCAACTTCCAGTCCTGCAAGCTCCAGTCAAGGTAAGGGCCCTATACAGGTTTTTATCTTTTATGCCATATTTTTACTGTACCTTTTCTGTGTTTAGATACACAAAAACTTAATTATTGTGTTACAGTTGCTTACAGTATTTAGTACAGTAACATGCTGTACAGGTTTGCAGCCTAGGAGCAAAAGGCTATACCATATAGCCCAGGTGTGTAGGAGGCTATACCATCCAGGTTTGTGTACGTGCGCTCTATAATGTCCACACAATGACAAAATTGTCTAACGACACATTCCTCAGAATGTATCTCCATCATTAAGCAACACATGACTGTACTGCCATGGCTAAATGATCAACTTGCCAGCAACAGAAACCATTGCTAAGACCCAACACCACACTATGCCTTGAAGATACCAAACAGCAACTTGGTGGAAAGGTAACCATACAGGTCTCCTTCCGCCCTAGATGGGCCAGTCATTTATTTTAACATGAATAGAAACACAAAAATGTGTGTCTATTTCCTTTCCTGCCTGCAGAGTCTCAGCCAACATGACTATCCAAGGGCTTATATTGTATTTTGTCCACCCACATGCCATCCCATACCTCACTGCATCCAACCAAGGCACTTACATTGATGTGGGGTCCGTGAGCCGAGGAGTCGAAAGAAATATTTCTTGGACTCTCAAGATCTGGCAGTAGTGCTCTTTTATGTAGAGAATAGTGTGGAATAGCATGGGGACAGGACCCATGGGCAGTCAGGCTGCTGCGTGGGGACAGGGCCCACGGGCAGGAGGAGCTGCTGCTGCTGCCCCCGCTGCTGCTGCAAACATGGTGGAGAGTAAGGCTAAATTTAAGGCATAGGTATGTGAGCCATCTCTTTACAAGACACAGGAAAGAACGTGTAAAAGAGTTAAAATGGTATCAGTGCAGGTGGGATCTGGCCATTGGGTGGTCCCACAACTTTTAGACAAGAATCAAATCAGATTAAGTAAAGGCCAGAAGCCACCACCCTAAATCAGTTACATGAGGTTGCCAGACAGTAACCAACTTAAGTCCTTGCCTTCCCCATTAAGAGTTTCTAGAGATAAGGTCATCTCCCTTCTTCCTGGCACAGAGAGGGAGGCATCTTTACAGATGGAGGTTTCCCTTACAAATATAAACGTCTCCCAACAAAGGGCAAGCAAACTCTGCTCCTCGGAGCCTGCTTCTCATCTGCACTTTTAAAAGTAACCAGCCTAAAAATCCTCATCAACATTATGCAAAGGAGATATAGCAGTGGGCACATGACATGGAATCCATTAGACCTATCACATGGCATATCACCCAGAAGCTATTGGCCTAATAAGCAATGAACAGCCTATTAAAAGCTTGACAGAAGTGTCCGCTTGGAGATGATACCTTGTGAGGATAAAGGGCTACCCTCCAGGATGCAGTAATGCTCCATCAATCACCATTATATGGTGCTGTATATCCCCAGTGGGAGAATGCCTGGGAGTGGGCTCTAAGGTGTGGAAGCAGGAGCGTCCCTATTTACTATCCATCCCAGTGACTCACTTGTGAATTTGTGCTTTTCATCCTCAAACTGTAACCACAGGTTTAAAGGTCTTGGTTTCCTAAAGGGGAACATTTCTACCAGGGAACACAGCAAGAATCTTCATTGGACTTTAAGCTACACCACCACCCAGGCACTTTGGGTCTGTGGGGACTGGAATCGGCCACCCCCAGGTATGTCTCTTTGGCATGAGGATTATTTGAGGCTGACTGCTTTTGATAAACTGGGACAGGGAAGGAGGCTCCAAGGAGTGGAACTTGCTTGCCCTTTGTTAGGAGACATTTACATTTGTAAGGTAAATCTATCTGTAAAACATCTGTGCCTCCCTCTCTGTACCAGGAAGGAGAAAGGAGATAACTTTCTCTCTAGAAACTCTTAGTGCCAAAGGCAAGGACTTAAATCTACATTTTATTGTGCTTGTCTGGTAACCTCCTGTAACTGATTTCCCTCCCCCTCCCAACGTTGGCATTTCTTTAAGGATTAAGCATCTTTCCTTAGGCTAGGAACTGATTGCTGTGCTCACCTGTGACCACCCAGCTCCAGACAATAGACTTGCCTCCTGCTATGCCCTCCGAGATAGCAGACCACTATCTGCTGTATCCATCAAGCGCTGTGCTGACAGGGCAATCTTGTGACTATTGTGGGAGGGACATTTCAATCATATGTGAAATATCCTGTTTGGGGGTATATAACTACTCTGTGCACCCCACTTCTTCAGTGCCCTTTCTTCCTTTGGGAAGAAGGGCCCCAGGCCATGGTCCTCATAAAGCTTTGTTTAATTTTCTCTTGCCATTCTGTCTCATGTGAATTTAATTTGTTCTCTGGCTGGACGAACCCACTTTGGATAGAGGAAATGTCTTCCTCCTCTACAGGTTCCTCATGCTAAGGACCAGCAGGCAAGAGAAAGATCTGTCGACGAAAATAATCCATAACCAATCTGTAAATGAAAATTTGGGTGAGTTTATTCTGAACTAAAATCCGAGGACCATGGCCCGGGGCCTTTCTTCCCAAAGGAAGAAAGGGCACCAAAGAAGTGGGGTGCACAAAGTGGTTATATACCCCCAAAGAGGGTGCTTTACATACGATTGAAATGTCCCTTGCACAATAGTTACAAGATTGCCCTGTCAGCACAGCACTTGATGGACACAGCAGGTAGTGGGTCTGCTATCTTGGTGGGCGTAGCAGGAGGCAAGTCTATTGTCTGGAGCTGGGTGGTCACAGGTGAGCGCAGCAATCAGTTTCTAGCCTAAGGAAAGATGCTTAATCCTTAAGGAGACGCCAACGTTGGGAGGGGGAGGGAAGTTGCACCTTTACCTCAAGGGTCTTTTGCTCTTGCCATAGGGAATCTCTAAAGCAGATATACAATGCATGCTCAACGGCCTCAGTCAGGCCCTTTTGGAAAGAGAAGGTCAGGCCGAATTAGGTTTATACCAAATGGCTTCCTCATATTCTCTAATATATCCTATTGCTTGCCATTTTTATTTGTCAGATCCTGGCGGGGGTAATTGACTCCTATCAAGAGGCGGTGGAACTGCTGTTTTACAACTTTCAGTACTGTCTTGTGCAATTTTGATGGCAAATGGATAAGCACAGCAGGTGCAGCCTGAGAGGAGCATGGTAAACAGTAACTGGAACTCATCAGTTTTGAGTGTCTGAGTCACTCCACTTGGTAAAACACTTAAACCTTCAGAGGTGCTAATCAACAGTGAGGAAAATCTGGAATGGACAAGAGACAAGGGAGAGGATGAATATAAGTTGCAGTCTCAAGACCAGCTGTAGGAGCAGAGAGGTTGTAGTTCATCTTACTAATCTTCCTTTTATAAGTTTCCCCCAGGAAAGAGGTCCACCAATGTACTGAAGGAGCTACTCTCAGAACTCATATGAAGAAAGTGGATCTGAATGGCACAAGGTCTGGACCATCCCGGAAGCTATGCTGCCCTTTCCAGACCACACCTGTCAGCCCTCTTAGAAATTGCTTCAGCTGAAGAGAGCTGCTTTGCTCAGTCAGGTCCCCTCTGGGCAGCCAGTGTCCACTGACTAATTGACACCCAATCCTATTTTCTTTTGTTCCACAGTTGTTGATTGCAGGACTCTCTAATAAACTTCCTATGTGCTAATTTCCATCTCAGAGTCCACGTCTCAGGAAATTTTATCTGTGACAGTCCCTCTAGAGTAGATTACAGTTTGGAGGAGAAGAAAACAAACAAGTCAAATAAATTTGTGATTTGTACTCCAAAGGAAATGAACCAGATGCAGTGATAGCAAATAACAGGGAAGGTGCATTTGGAGAGGAGGTGACATTATAATAGGAGGTGAACTAGACAATAGGTAGAAGACAGTCATGTGAAGAGCAAGTAGAAAAGTGTGTTTCAGAAAGAGGAAACAGCTTGGATAAAGGGGCTTCCCAAAGAGCTTAGCATGTTGAAGTACCACCCAGAGCTTTGTAGTCCTTTTAAGGGATTTTATTTCAAATGCAATGGGAAGCCTTTAAAGGGTTTTTAAGCAAGAGAGTAAAATGTTGTGATTTGCATTTAAAAACATTCTCTCTGATAGTGTGGAGAACAGACTGGATGGGAGGAAACCATTAAGGAGATTATTGCAATATCAAGAAACATGCCCACCCAAAGTTTGCCCCTCCCTCCAAACCATGTGTCATGTGCCCAAGACCCTGGAATTCCCAGCCCACCTCCAGGACCTGCATGGGCCTCTTCCCCATGTCCATCCTCCCAAGGACAGACTGCACATCTTTAGGGTCATAGGTGTCCAGGGAGTGACTGTCAGAGGGCTTGGAAGTGGAGTGTCCACAGGCATGCAAGGAAGCCCCTTGCAGTGGGAGATGAAGCCAGGATTGGAAAACAAGGGATGAGCTATGGGGAGGGACTGGGATGGTAATCTCTCCCTATCCTGCCAAATTCCAATGTGGATTCCAAGGATTCCAAGAATCATAAATTTGAGGCTTGGCTATCTGGGTCATTAAAAAGCTATTTTTAAGCTATATTTGTCAAGATAGGAAGATAAAACATATTTTATTTAACATTTTGATTGTTAATCAACAGCTTGATTTTCAACTTGTAAATATTTAGACATATGGTATGTGGGCCTCCATTTCTAATTTTGCCCTGGGTTCTATAAACGTTAGGGATGGACCTGAAAGTCACATTACCTACAAAGAAACAATATATAGACAAAGCTGTCTTTTTATCACAAAGAGTAGGGGTCAGCCCCATGGCCGAGTGGTTAAGTTAGCACACTCTGCTTTGGCAGCCCAGCGTTCACCGGTTCGGATCCTGGGTGTGGACTTACACACCACTCATCAAGCCATGCTGTGCTGGCATCCCACACGGAAGAACTAGAATGAGTTACAACTAGGATATACAACTATGTGCTGGGGCTTTGGGGAGGAACAAAAAAAAAAAGGAAGATTGGCAACAGATGTTAGCTCAGGGCCAATCTCCTCACCAAAAAAAAAAAGTATTAACAAAAATAAAAAAAACCAAAGAGTAGATGCCAGAGGATGATGGAATATCTTCAAAATGATGGGGAAAAATATCTGTATATCCAGTTAAACTAGCATTCAAAGGTGTGGATAAAATAAAGACATTTTCAAACCAAGACAAAGAGAATTTCTCTCACATACCCTTGCAGAAAGAAGAAGATTAAACTCAGGAGGAAGGATTAGAAGGCAAGAATCAATAATGAGCAAAGAAATTAGCAGGCACATTGATAATGTTACTGCACAAAAATGGGGTTCTCCTACCTGATGTCCATAAATAAGCCAATTAATTATGGCATCAGCTTTTGGTAGAGAAATCAGCTTTATTCTGTGAGACATCTGCAGGGAGACTGGGACTTGTGCCCTCAGATCTGTCTCTCTGATCAGGATTTGGGGAGAAATTTAAGAAGTTAGGGAGAACAGGCTTTGATTGGTGGCCTTCAAGCATTTGTGGTGAGGTTCTAAACATTTATGGTAAAGGAGGGAAGGAATTTTAACATCAGATCTTCCTGAATGACCCCTCACTTCTGATAAAAGTTTGACTTTTAGGTTCCAGTCATGTCCCTGATCCTTTGGTTCCATGGAGAGGAGAATCTTTGGTTCTGTGGTCATTTCAGGTCAAGATTTCTTCTGCACATGCTCTGGCTACATGACTTTGCAAATTTTCTGAAAGACAATTTCTTAATTACTCTGTTGATAAGATGGGATCAGTTGCAACTGGTCTTGGAGGGTCCATGGTTATAGTAAGTCTAAGTAAACATTGACCATAAAAAAATTACTAGTTTTAAGAGGATAAACACAGCATGGAACTAGACTATTACATAGCAATCAAGTTGAAGGTGAAAGGCAAGACTGAGTTAAAACATCCTAAGGTCCTCATGATGTTGAATATACAATGTTAAAAATTTCCACCTATAACTTTTAATATTTTTAAGGAAAACATCTTAAGCAAATATGCAAAAAAGAAAGAAAAAATGAATAGTTAGGATGAAGGACGGAATAAAAAAAGCAAAATAAGTTTAACTGGTAATACATATAAAATTGCCCTTTTTTTCAATATGGAAAATCAGGCACTAATTTATTCTTTGTAAATTTCCTCTAACCAAAACCACTGACCATAAAATACCACCTCTGCCACTATTATCCCCCAACTATAAATTACTCATCCATAAAGAAAACTTTATGAGAGCTGTTGCTCTTCATTTTTATAAAACTCCATGAAAGATAGATATTAAAATGTTAGAGAAAATCTTATATACTTGGAGCTTTCAAACCAATGAGTCAATTATCATTAACTGTTTGCAAAGACTCTACTGTTTTCTGTGGACAAGACAAAATTTAAAAAGTGCCTGTTGGGGCCAGCATGGTGGCATAGTGGTTAAGTTCACACGATCCGCTTTGTTAGCCCGGGTTCACAGGTTCAGATCCTGGGTGCAGACCTACACGTTGTTCCTCGAGCCATGCTGTGGTGGCGTCCTACATATACAGTAGAGGAATACTGGCACAGATGTTGGCTCAGGGACAATCTTCCTCACCAAAAAAACAAAAAAAAAGTGCTGTCTTCAGGCAGCTTACAATCTGATTAGGGAGAAACAAGCTATACAAACCCACCCAGGATAAACCCTACGATAGAAGACAGCAAATGGCAAGAACCTTGGATGGTATAAATGTCACAGTTCAGTGCAAGTGGGATCCTCTGACTGAATATGTGAAATTTGATCTGGGCTTTAAAAGAGGAAGAATTTCTTAGAGAAAACTGGGAATAGGCATGAGCAAAAGCTCTAAAGTATCAAAAGTGTTGGAGCCAAGAAAGAAGACAATTTCAAGAAAGAAAGGTAAGCATTGAGTGAAATAGTGAGAGAAATCGAGTGACTCATAAGACAGACTGAAGTCATCACAAGGAAGAAATAATTTTAAATATTATTTTAAAGATGGCAGCAACTTGAATTTTTTGTTTGACTTCCCTTCTTTTATATTCTGTTAATCTTTTGGAAAAAAATGTAGAAAATATAAATACAAAATACTGACTTTCTGCAAGTTACACATATGAATAACTCTGGTTTTTACTACTTCCACATACAACTTTATTTCCTAGACCTTCTGTAGCCTAAAAAGAAAGGCCAAGTCATGTATACTGCAGAAGGGAGCTCCACACTATTGCTGTGGAGTTTTAGGCTCTAGGTTTGTATTATTAAGAGTCATGATACCAATAACACTAACATTTATTCAGCAGGTATTTTGTCAGGTATTATGCAGAATGCTTTACATGATATTTTAGTTAATGCCAGCTGCCTTAATAGATAAACCCAAGAATCTCATGGCTTAACAAAATAGAAGTATACTTCTCACTCATGTAAAGTCCAAAGCGAGTGTTTCTAACAGGCATAAATCTCTCCTTCAAGCTGTGATTCGGGGACCAAGTTTCCTTCCACTTTGTGGTTTCACCATCCTTAACATGTGGCTTCCAGGGGGAACTCGCAGAAGGGGAATGAACAAGGGGGACCACAATGGCAGATTTTTGTGAGCTGAGCCTGGAAGCAGCACGCATCTCTTCTGCTCACATTCCATTGGCCGGAATTCAGTCACATGGCCTCAACTAACTGCAGGTGGAGATGGGAAATGTGGTGTAACCTATTTGCCCAGGGAGAAAAAGAAAGGGTTTCGTGAACAGTTTGCCAGTCTCTGCCACACATACATTATTTTTTCCATTTAATCCTAACAATTCCATAAGATATGTACATAATTTATATCACTTTACAGATGAGGAAGCGAAATTTTGACAGGCGAACTTCCTCACCTAATAGCTCACAGTGAATAAACGGCAGTGCTCGAACTCAAACCGAGGCAATCTAACCCCGGAAACCATATTCCCTATCAAGTTAACCACAGTATGACTGACATTCGTGTTACTGAAGAAGAATATTTAGGCCTTATTTTAGTTATAACAAAGGGATGACGATTTTAGAACCGTGAGTAATCCAAACTCATCATTTTAGCGATGAAGAAATTGAGATCTAGAAGTAGAATGTCCTTCACAAGGTCAAATCATTGCTTCTCAAGTACCATACAATGTAAACAACATTTTGATAAGAAAATATAATCTTGACAAACTAATAACTTATGGCCTCCTTTCTGAAAGTCAGCTTCCTAAAAGATGTGGTTTAATATAGTTAAAATCAAGCATTAAGATTTGTTTCCTAATGAACTTTGTATTTCCCATCTGTGTGTGTGTGTGTGTGTGCGGGCGCGCGCGCGTTTCGTCCTGAAGAGGAAGCCCAGCATAGAGTAAGCCTGCCACCATGTGGCGTGGGCTCAAACCCAGCATCTGTTAAACACTTTATTCCCATTTATTTTGTTTGCTTCCAGCTTACTGACTAACCAACCTAGATTTGATATACTGCCTGATAAGCAATTCATACTGAGCTAGGGTGCATTCTACAGGCTTAAGTGCTTTTTTATTTCAAGATACATTTCTTTATCCAGTTCTGAAATTACTGCAATATTTCCAAATCTGTTACAGGAGTGACCAACTTCTAAAATGTGGCCCAGGCACGTTCACAAGAGGTTTATTCTAGCGCTTCACAAACAAGAAAACAAACTAAGCAATTAGCAGGATTTATCTCAAACCACTCAAAAGTTAATCAATGAGCCAGATTAGAAGGCAGAATTCCCAATCAGACAATAGGTATATCAAGAACTGTTCAAATATGTGTAAAACCCCCCAAAGAAGAGGGAGAGTCAGAATATATGCAGGGATCACATTTCCTAGAGTTTAAACAGTATATGAGCTGAATATATTATAACATGCCAGGCAGACATTTCCCAGCCCTCTCCCTGCGTTTGTCAAAATAAGAATGACATCTAAAGTTGTTTAAAAGGCAGTAAATTTGGCAAGTGGCTAAATGGAAACCTGGTATTGCTGCCGCTTCGAAGCGTTGTTACAAAGCATTGGGGACGGGACGTCAGTACTCATATTTTGATACCGTTTTTAAATGTCTCTCCTTTGGTCCAATTACTACTTCTTTTTCTACCACTGCAAACTCAGAAATATCCATTTCACATATAACTCACTTGATGTCACTGGGGAAAGCAGTTAAAGAGAAGATAAGTTTTTAATGCTTGATGGTGAAAAAAAAAAAAAAACCTCACAGTATCGTTTTCCCCCCTTTATTGGATGGTGAGTTCATGAAGATAAGCCCACATACTGATATGTAAATTTATTATTCCTACATCATGAGTTAGCTGAGATGGGAACATCAGTTTAACCCAGTTACTGGGTCTCAATATTCCTCTAGGAAAAAAGGGGTGCCAATGGAAACCCAAGCTTCTTTACACTCCAGATTTCTCCCCACCTCCTCACCTCCCCATCCCTCCACATCTTTCCCAAGCATGGGTATGTACCAAGGTTAAGAACACCACTTGGGCTATGTTTTCTAGGGGCCAAAAGTACATGAATAATGCTGTATTGTGTAAATACCCTTTTTTGGCGGAGAGCTCTGCCTTCCCTCTAGAGCAGCCGTTGAGTTCCCTTCTTGTTACTACTTGTGCGGCCGGGAAGATTGGCCCAGAGAAGCCGCACCAATCCCTGTTCTAGGAAGGTCTTCTGCAGATGGCTTAAATCAGCTCAGTTCTAGAGATTGGGCCTTATATTCTGGTTCTTGTCCATTCTCCTCTTTGGTCTTTATGCTCCAGATCAGCCTTTCCTCATCTTTGAAGTGATAAATGTGGGTTTAGGAATGGAGACCACTTAGTTTTGCTTAAAGAGCTCACAATGTGGTCTAATATAATCTAATTCAGAAGGATTCTATAGAAAGATTTGCAGTATTAGTGCAATTAAATGTATTTAGCTGATCATTGTCTAGATTCACGATTGGAGGAAAAATGTCTCCTTTGTGTGAAAAATAAATGTGTTGTTCTATACGAAATTTCTCACATTTTACAAAACAAATCATTCTCTTCTCTATGAGCCTCTTTGCAATATATGGTGGATATTGCTAAATAGTATCAGCCAAATTACAATTCATAAAGAATAACATCCCACTTATGTGGTAAAATATTCTAGACAAAGATTTAATATCCAAAGTTTAGAATCTAAATAGTATTTGGTATTGTGTAGTAGATTTCATCTGTGTAGCCAGATTTCACAAATCTGGCAATATAAGTTTATTTTTAAAACTTTGCTCCATGGGGGCTGGCCTGGTGGCGTAGTGGTTAAGTTCGAATGCTCTGCTTCTGCAGCCGGGGGCTCACGGGTCTGAATCCTAGGTGTAGACCTACACATTGCTGATCAAGCCATGCTGTGGCGGCGTCCCACATACAAAATAGAGGAAGATTGGCATAGATGTTAGCTCAGTGACAATCTTCCTCAAGCAAAAAGAGGAAGATTGGCAACAGATGTTATCTTAGGGCCAATCTTCCTCACCAAAAAACCCAGAAAACTTTGCCTCATGAATTAATATATTAATTTATCTGTGAGAAAAACAAATGACAACTGCTATTTCTTTCTATTTGCTCATAATTCTAACCTGAGAGATCCTCAAAGCTATAAAGGATATTTGTCCAAAATCTACAGAAAATATTATACTTAATAAAAACATTGAAGCATTACCACTGAAGACAGCACAGATTTTTTTTTAAATAGCTACAAATTCTTTGGCACTCCTCCCCCTGAGAAATGGAGTCTACATATACTCCCGCTGAATCCAGGTGGGCTTATAATTTGCTTTTAACCAACGAAACGCAGCAGAAGCGGCCCTGTGTGACTTCTGAGGCTGGGTCAGAAAAGGTGATGCAGCTTCCCACTTGTTCCCTAGAATACTTGCTCTTGGAGCAAACGGAATAATGGAATGTGAAATAGAAGGTGGAAACATCCGAACCCACACCTCCATGTAAATATATGAATTAGTGTATAATAAAGGTGATATCTCAAGCCATTCAGAAAAAAAGTTAGCTTATTCAATAAATAGTATATATTCATCTAAGTTGTTGATTTTCTTGGGATAAGCTTGTCCATAATATCCTCCTTGTCAGTTTTTTTAATGTCTCTAAAATCTATAGTGACGTCCCTGTTTTTATTCTTCCTGGTTTTTCTCTTTTTTTTCTTCTTAATCAGCCTTATCAGTAGTTTATCAATTCTATTAATCTTTTCAAAGAATAAGATTTGACTGTTGATTTTCTATTTTTCTATTTAATTGATTTCCAATCTTATTTTGATTATTTTATTTCTTCTACTTATTTTGCAATTAGTTTGCTTTTCTTTTTTCTCTGTTTTTAAGATTGACACTTAGATAATTGATTTTATAAATTTCTTCTTTTCTAACATAAGTGTTTAAGTGTATAACTTTCCCAGTGCTTTTGCTGTAACCCACAAATTCTGATATGTTGTATTTTCGTTATCATTCAGCTCAAAATATTTTCTAATTTCCTTTGAGATTTCTTACTTGATTTATGGGTTATTCAGAAGTATGTTGTTTAATTTCCAAAAATTTAGGGTTTTTCTGGATAACTTTCCATCATTTATTGCTACCTAAATTCCACTTGGGTCACATAGAAGGTATACTCTGTGTGATTTCAATTCTTTTAAATTTATTAAGACTTGTTTGGGGGCTGGCCCGGTGGCACAGTGGTTAAGTGCACACTTCCCACTTTGGTGGCCTGGGGTTAGCTGGTTCGGATCCCAGGTGCAGACCTATGCACTGTTTGTCAAGTCATGCTGTGGTAGGCATCCGACATAGCATAGAGGAAGATGGGCACAGGTGTTAGCTCAGGGCCAGTCTTCCTCAGCAAAAAGAGGAGGATTGGTGGCAGATGTTAGCTCAGGGCTAATCTTCCTCAAAAAAAAAGACTTGTTTTATAGCCCAACATATGGTATATGTTGATAAATGTTCTGTGCTTCTCCATCTTCCCCCAATGTAATCATTGCACACATTGACAAGACAGCTTCTGTTCCAAGGTGGCAAATAGGATCCAGGTAGAAGCAGGCTGGCAGGCTCCATGCTAGGAAGAAGACTGCAAATTACCTTGAAGGAAATAGACTTCATCATCTCAAAAAATAAGAACATGAACCCTCTGGCTGTTACCACATATGTCCTCTGATTCAGGGTCTCTATTGTCATTCTACCTGGTTCCATGGAACTTGAGAAAAATGCTATAAAATATGCATGCTATTTTTAAAAATTCAGAGAGCAAAAAAGATCCCTTGGAAATAAAAAAAAATATATAATGGTTGAAATGAAAAACTTAACAGAAGAGTTGAAAGATAATATTGAAGGGATATTGCAGAAAGTAGAATGAAAAGGCAAAGGCAAAGAAAGGAAAGAAAATTTTTTAAAATTAGAGAATAAGTCGTAGTTCAGGAAACAAATAATAGGCATTCCAGAAAGAGAGCGCATAAAAAATGGGGGAGAATTCAGGAAGATTTCCCAGAATTGAAAGTAACTTACTTCTAGCATTAAGTGACAGAGTAAAAGACCCACTAAGTTTTTAACATAGTGGATGAAAATAGACTCATACCAAGACACACAATTATGAAATTTCACAATTCCTGGAAAAAGGAGAAGATTTTATACACTTCCAGAGAGAAAGAAAAAAGTCACAATAAATGGATCAAGAGTCAGTCTGGCTTTAGATTCTCAACAGCAACACTGGAGGCCAGAGCACAATGAATCAATGCCTTTAAAGGTCTGAGAGAAAATTATTACCATCCTAGAATTTCACACTCAGCTGAACTATCAATCAGTTGTTAGAGTAAAATAGAGACATTTTCAGGGATTCAAGGTCTGAAAACTCACCTCCCATGCATCCAAGAGGCTACTGAAGATGTGCTCCACCAAAATGACAGAGTGAACCAAGAAAGGGGAAAACCTGGGATACAGAAACAGAGAATCCAACGCAGGAGACAGAGAGGTCAAGGGAATCTCAAAGAGGATGTGCATATGACGTGGAGAGCAATGAGTTCAAATGGAAGTAGTACGATTTCAGAGACAGACACAGTGAGGACTGTTATCACCAAGCTATCTACAGTCATCATAATGTCTTTACCTGGAGGAAAAAGTTCCCAGGCAAGCCTGGCTCAGATTCTTATCTGTCCTTGGCCAGCACTGATCCTGTGCTAATGAAGTTTCTCCCTCCTCTCTACACCCTACAGCCAGGATCAGCTGAGGATACTCCCTGCCCCCTAAGAGGTATTGTGATTTGCCCATTCCTGAGATCTGAAGGTAAGCTTTGAAGTAGAAAATACAGAGCAGTCTCTTCCTACTGACCATGTTCCTACTGGTTAACCAGCACTGGGCCCACACTACAGGCTTGCCAGCTGTAAGCCCTATGCTTCCTAAGACTCTGTCATGGCCTTGCCCAGAAGCGGTCTTGTAAAACTCCCAAGCAAGCTAAATTCAGACTATGACTCAGACACTCTCTTCAGCGCATCTTTTTCAGGGACCCTTCATCTAATAGTGGCAATGTTCCTTCTTAGTTAGATTTGTGCTTGCTTCTCAGTTTTCTACTGATAACTTTTCACATACACTTAGATGAAAATAGTGATTGACAAAATGATATAACATTGATTGAGAATAAAAAAGAAAGAACTAGGCTGGGACAAATCAAAATCTGTTTAAGCCTCAGTTTCCATACCTATAAATGAGGACAAAAAGATCTTACCTCTCAGAGCTGTTGGAACAGTAAATAAACTAATGTAGATATCATGTATGTTACAGATTAGGGGCTTAACCACTGACAGCTATTTCTCTAAATCTCAATTTAGTAAGATAATTCCTTTAATGTGTGAGTGTGAGTGTGTTGTGTGTGTTTGGGGGTATACATAAAAAGTGTAGTAAGGGTAAAGCAGAGGCAACTTACATCTGCTGAAGTCACGGAAGCTTCCAGAGAAGGCAACTTTTGAGCTCTTGCAGAAAAAATGTGGAATGTGACAAGGCCTCCTAGGAGCCCCAGAAGCCTGTGAGCTATGGCAGAATCAGAGATTTGGTAAACTGCAATAGTTTATGCCTCATATATGTTTTTACATTTTACTATGGAAAATTTCAAATGTATGCAAAATGGAGAGACTAACATAGCACACCCTGTCTACCCACCTTCAACCGTGCTGAGTGCACAGCCAATCCTGTTATATTTATATCCCAAGCTGCTGCTTCTCCATTGCCAGATGATTTATAAGCATATCTCAGAATCGTATAATTTCATCCATAAATATTTTAGTGTTAGACTTTTTGTGTTTTCTTAAAGCTTTCTCAATATTTACTAAATTCTTTAAAATAATACAAAAATAACTAAGCGGACCTACAAGTACTAATATCAAAAGATCACACAACCATATTGTGAAATGAAATAAGTAAGTTACAGACCTCACAATTTACATTTAAAAATACCCAAATCACCAAAAACAACAATAAAATAATAAAATATATCTGAGTGCTCCAAAATAGGTAAGTATATAGAAAGATAACTGTAAAAATATACATCAGACGACTGATCCTGATTATCTCTGAAAGGGGAGTAGTAACTTGGAGTGTGAACTTAGGAATTTTGCCCTGTAGATTTTTATATTGTTTGCCTCTTGTACAGAAAAATATATTCCTCATTATTTCTGCCATTTCCTTTAATAAAAAGAAGAGAGTTAAAGTACACACAGTTTGCTTGTTGCTGCCCAGAGTGACAGTAACTCATCTGGGAAACGTAGAAAAGTGTCAAGTGCTGATCTGTTTCTAACTATGAAGTGACCTTCCTACCTCCTTCCAAATCAATTTTTTTTTTTTCCTGCCAACTAAAAATACCCTATCCAGTTCAGGAAATGTGGCTGATTGAATAGCAGCTGCTGCCGAGGACCTACTTTGCATATTGAAACAACCTTGGAAGAAAAATAGCAAAAGCTCACTGTCATCAGCTTCTGTTTTGAGGCCCGGCTGGAGCTCATCCCACACATTTGTCTTGGCCTCCGAATTACCCTTCCTGCACATTTTTCAGGAGACAGTCTCTGGCCACTGTTTCTTTTCCCTGTTAGTGTCAGGAAGCTTCCTGCAAATACGGTAAAAGCAGAAACTGAAGGTGCTTCAGTGCAAAGCTAACATCCCATCCTTCAGATCTTTCTGACACTGTTTCAGAAAGCAGATCAACTGCCATTTCCTTTTCCTGTTGTTTTTTTTTTTTAGAGACAAAGAGATCCACTGCCAAGATACTATTTCTGGTCAAAGGGGGAGAGAGAGCAAAAAAAGACAGGCAGGAAAATTTCCCCCAGCTTTGCCACGTTCCTCATTTGGTTATAAAGAGATGGCGTCTCCAACAAAATGGAAACTAGAAATAGCAGACGGGTCTGGAAGATGAGCTCTGCTGTAAATGTAAAACACTCATAAGCCGCTTAAAGTGATAAGAATTCAAAACACAATTTGTAATGCAAATTAAAGACATTTTAAAAGAGTCTACAATATTATATTCTATATCTAATTCTATTATATGATGTCCTGGTCTCCATATGCAAGAATAATGACCTCCCCCTTTCATATGGCATGCAGATGCATTTTGACCAGTTTTTAAAGAAATAATGTGAGAAACTGTACAATGTTGCTCACAGCTGCTCAGTAAAAATTGCATTGTATCTATAGAATATTAGAGCTGGATGAAATTTTAGAGATTAGTCCAAACTTCTTCTTGCTTTACAGATTGGAAAAGTGAGGTTCAGAAAGATTAAATAACTTACCCAAGGTAACACAGATAGAAAGTGGCAGACCTGGGGCTGGAATACAGACCTCTTAGTTTTTCAACCCACCTTCTTCCTCGTTTATGACGGTGCGTCACTGATCCAGCCACGCTGTCCTGCCCTGTCTCTCATTTGCAAGATAGCAGGCAAGAATTACTGCAGCATTACCTCTGAGTTCTTACTTTTAGACTTGATGACCATGCTAAACAAACAACGAATTATGAGCCCCTGAGATACGTACGTGCATGTGCACACTCACACAAACACACAACACACACACTGTTAACCCATGTTAAAAGACAAAGGATTTGGAAGACACCTTTGTATTGTGAGAAGAGAACCTTCTACCATGGAATGTTGAGGAAGCATGGCAGTTGCCCACTCAACACCATTCCCACTTTTTTCTCGCTAAGAGTTGCGTGATTTTATTGGGGGATTGCGAGGTGGGGGGCAATATGATCAGAAGTGGACCCAGCCTGGCCAAGACAAGTAATTTCACTTTCCAGGCTAATGAGATATAAGAGGCAATTGGCTGGGAGGCTTTAGGGAAATATTTGTTTCCCGATAAAATAAATGCACACGCATGCGCACGAACACACAAGGCGACTGCCATCTTTCTCCCTCCCGCTTTTGAATTCAGTTGTTCGAGGATAAGATGGTTGGTGTTGTTGCACCAAGGAAAGGAAACAGCGCCCAAAAGTTGATGATGCCAAAGCAGAAACATGGAAAGAGATGGGTTCCTCGATGACACTCTTGAGCTGCCAAACCGACCTGGAACCACCTCCCTCCTTGCTTGTGGTCGTGTGAGATAATAAGAAAATCTTACCGTCTCAGCCACTTGTGGCTGAGTGTTCTGTACCTCGCAGCTGAAAGCGTGGTTACTGTGCCTCTCTGAATCTCATCCTTTTCCTTGTTAAATGGTGATAACAATATCTGCCTGGCAGAGTGGTTGTGAGGAGGAAATGAGGTGCCTAACATAGAGGAATTCAATAAATGGTAGCACAAATACCATAATTATTATAACTGTTATATTAAAATTCTCAACCGTGGGAATGTTTTCCCCACTCCTCAATCTCCATGATACCTGGAATGTTTACCCTATGACAGTGGTCTGGGGTCAGTACAACCAGTGGCCACCTCCTCTCCAAATGCTGAGGAGCTCAGGCATAGATGCTGTGGGCCTGGGAGCTGGTGGGGAGAACAGCCTGTAGGGGAAAAAAATAAAAAGAAAACTGGAGCGTGTAAAATCAACGTATGACCTGTAGTGCAACACGGTGACATATTGAAAGATCTGAGCAAGCCATAACGCGGTCATTTCTTCTATCCTTAAATGCCAACTCAGGCAGTCTAGCCAGTGGAAATAATCCAGATGAAGAGAAAAACTTTGTTCACAAAATCTTTAATTCAGCATTATTTTGGAAGTAAACCATAATATTTCTCCTTGATGTCATCTAACTATGAAGTCAATATAAAAATTTTTATTGGAGACAATGTAGGAGTAAGGCAACGTAATTTTCTATATAAAGTTAAATGAAAAAATCAGAATACCGAAGTAGATGGACACTCTGGTTACAACCACATGGAACACAGCTATAATTAGGCCAGACTATAATTGGCAAATCGGTTGTTAAGTAAGTGCAGTGGAACACAGGAAATAAGGGGGCTGTGGGTTGCTGAAGAAACTCTGGCCAGAAAAGGGAGGAAAGATGAGAGAAGATGACAGTCATCATAGTGGGACACACAAAGGGCATTGTTTTCTCTCCCCTAAGGCCATTAGGTGGATTTCAAAATAGTCCGGACAGCTGAGCGCGGAGCTGCAGGACCGGGCAGCAGAGATGCAGCCCTTGGCGGGGAGCTGCGTCCTGAGAAGGCCTCCCAGCAAGAGCCCCAGCCCGGGACCCTCCACACAGGCAGTGGGGAAGATGGACGAGGAAGACACCCCAGCTCATCAGACACCGAGAGGGAGGCACAGAGCGTCCGAAACCTGGGACTTAGGGAACACAGGGAAACAGCTTCCACATGCCGTTTGCTGGATAAATATTTCTTATAGAATGTTTCCTGTTGGTTCACTCTCTATCACGAGAGCCTTGTTTGTAATCGGAGTACTAGGAAAGCATAGGCAGACAGATTTCTGTTTTCTTGGGAGTTCTGTGGATGGCAATATATCAGCAATAGTCCATGAAACCAAGGAAAAGCATGGAAGTGCACACAGCTATTATATATATTTAAAAGGCATATAAAAATAAAATTAAAAGTATATTTATGTATTATAAACATAAGTAAAATACCTTTGCAATTAGCATCTACAGTATCTTATACATGATTTAGATCTTCACATATAAAAATTCCGACCCATCATGAATTTGGAGATTTTTGGGTGGTTGACTGGCACTTTTGCACGCACGCTTCTGCGTCTGCCCCTCTGCAACCGTTGTACATGGTGACAAGACAGTGTTTGGCTCCAAGGGAGCTCAGAGGACACTGGTATATGCCAGGCTCCATGTAGGAAGGTGACTGCATGCATGCCACCTTGAAGGAACAGACCTCGCTGACTCAGAGAGCAAAAAGATGAACCCTCTGGCCGTCACCATGTATGACTTACGATTTGCGGCCTCCCCCTGTCGTTCCCCCTGGCTCCACCATTCCTGATCTTGCTCATCCTTTCCTCTACCCAACTATCTCCTCCTCTAGGAGGGGGCCCAAAACAGAGCAACTCACCTCTTGTTTTATATAATGAATATTTTATAATGTCTATTTTTGATCTAGAAATGAAAATCACAAATAGTAAGATGTATCTGCCCACATAATCTTGAAAGAAAATCAATTTAATACTGTAATTATAAGATAAGGAATAAATCAAAGGAAGGTAAATATAGTAAAAAGAATACCTCTTTCCTTACATAAGTGCTCAGGGACAATCACAGTAATGAAGCTGTCAAATTCTTGCATCTAAATGTAGCATTAGCGTGGCTGCACAGCCCCTGACACGGTGTTTCCGTGCGTCTTATCAGCTCCTTTGGTGCCAGGGCAGTGCTGCCATCAGTCATGTGCTTTTCTAAAACGGTGAACAGCTCACGCTAAAGCTCCAAACAAAACGAAAGGCAAGCCTCCCTTAGTTCGCAGAGTCGTCACATTTCTGGAAAATGTAATGTATGTGAAACTATGCAACAAATAGTCATGTTTACATACAAAACAAAATTAGGTTCTAGAATCAGATCATTTTTAAACAGAGAGGTTGTAAAAACGACATCAATGTCTGGGGCATCCAAAAGTTGAATTTAAACTCAGGAAGCTTTCTTTCTTGCGCAGCATGGCCCCGGGCCATGATCTCTGGCCCCTGCCCCCAAGTCCCAGGGCTGTGCTCCAATCAGACTTTCAAAGTGATGCCATTAAGAATCACTGCTCTCAGTTTAGGAGTCGACCTCGTGCTCTCTGCCCACTTTCTCCCAGCCTGGGGAAAGCCTAACCATGAGCATTTGTACCTGTAAAAGGCACGCATAAACACAGTGCACCAGTGGCCGCCACCCCAAATTCAGACATACTGCTTAGGGTTGCCTAATAATTGATAGTCTTAGATGGAGTTCAACGTCTCAGGGAACTTCAGCTGTCAGCATGATTGGAGCGTTGATTCTCATCACAATGCCCCCCAAAGATGCTCTCCCATGCTCGCTCACATCACTCACCAGTGACTGCTGAGGGGTAGGGAAGTTGGGCAGCCCAGGGCTGCTGGCTGTAACTCCTCCATTGGCTTCCGCTCATCCTTCACAGAGACAATAGCTAAGAAATTCTGAGTGAGAGAAGATTTACTCAAGAGATTAAATGCCTCAAAGTATGTTGCCATTTGGAGAAAAAAAGGAAAAACTAATGCATCATACTAGCTTACATACGCACAGACTATCTCTGGGAAAATATCTAAGAAAGCGATGATATGGGGTCTTCCCCAGGAAGGACCTGCATGGCTGGAGGACCGGGGTGAGAGGAGACCTGGACACTCAACCCTTTTGTGCCTTTGGGATTTTGTATGGATAGCTTGAAAATAGAAATAAATAAAATCTGATTTTTAAAAGATGCAGTCCTTGGAAATAAGATATTACTTGAGTATCGCAAGTTGAGGAAGTGAGAGACTAGAGAAAGATGAAGTCACAACAAGACAGAGAGGTGGGGGTTGCTATGGAGCCCAGGAGCAGGAGGGCTGGAAAGGAGGAATCTGTCAGCGTTTCTCCAGTACTCCCAGGAGAACAAAGCTGTGTTCTAGCACTCTCCTCCTTTCGACTTATCTGTAGAGAGGAGACAGGAAAGCCATCACCAGGCTTTGTTCCATGACAAACAATCCCTCAAAAACCACCAACTTTCCATTGTTTCCAAACAGCTGGTGTGCACATAATTTGCTTGGTTGATTTACTCAGTGCCCTGTGCATCCACCACGTGCCTCTCCTTCCCCCGCTGCCTCCCCGAGGTGTGCTGCACAGAGAACCAGCCCCGATCTTGGGCCAAATAGATCGCATTGGAAATGCAAGTAGTATCCTGGCTTATACACCGTTTCTTTGTGAGTGCAGTATGCCTGATCCTTCGGGCCTGACTACCTGTATGAGAATTGGCAAAAGCCTATTTCTAAACTCACACTCTGAGCCATGGGGCTCTACCCAGTGGCCCTCTGGGGAAGTCCTGAGTTCTTGGGGTGGTAGAGCTGGGGCCCAAGACCCTCACCCCTCCTGTCTCAGTGAGTCCAACAGAGACCCTCTCCTCTATTACAGTTCTAGAAGCTGCAGTCACAGGGTTACAAAGTTGCTGTGTCCCTTTCCAACACACCTCTATTCTTGATGGCTTCCCTTTCCTTATTTCATAGGACTAAACTGGAACGAGGTCCCCCATTTGGGGGCAAAGTATGTGACGTGCCTTAACTTAGTTAATCCTCGCCCAAAACATTTCAAGTTAGGTACCACTATTATAATTGTCACCTCTACTTTACAGGCAAAGAAACTGAGACACAGCGAAATTCAGGAACAAGTCTGAAGTGACACAGCAGATAAGCAGTGGATGCCAAGTGTGTCCCCAGATGGACTAAAACTAAAGCCCACCGCGTTACCCTCTGCTCCGCGGTGCCTCCCCGGACTGCAGCCCTTCTAAGCTCCCCATGTGAGAGTGTCCAATGAGAAGCTCCCCTCCTTGTTGAGCTGAAGGGGTGGGGTTGGGGAGTACAGAGGTAACTCGGCCCACAAGGGCCTTGGGTAGAACTAGGGTCATATTCAAAGTGATGGCTATCTCCCTGGCTCTCATCTTCTCCAGTTAATACAGGACTTTAGCCCTCAAGAAAGGTTCCCTTATTTCTGAGAGAGCCTGAGCAGTGTCCCTGAAGGGCAGTGCCTCTCCAAGATCCCAGGGCCAACACCAAAGAGGGGTCTCTGGATGCCCTGTACACTGCCCATGTGGCCGCAGGTTTCCCCAGAATCTTTGGGGCAGGAGGCCAGGGGAAGTGTCCCTCCCCTCACTGTGTCACTGAGCAGCCTGGCATGGTGCCTCTGAGCCCCTCAAGTCACGTCTTCTTCAGCTCCTACTGTCCCCCGCACCCCCCCGCCCCGGGCCTCAGACATGTGCCCCCAGGCACACCTAATTCTTAGCCTGCCCACCCCAATCCTCCTGCAGATCCAGTCCTGGCAGGATTCCCACTGGTTCATCAGCTGGGCCCAGACGGGACTGAGTCCCAGCTTGATCTGATTGCCCTGCGCCACAGACGAGACGGACAAGCCCTCCTCCAGATGGTCTTTATGGCTTTGAGATTGCCCTGGGATAACGACGAAGATTCTTTGCTTGACCAAACTTTATTCAGGCTCCTAAACCTTCTCCTAGGCCCATCTGTGCACTGCCTTGTAAAATCGAGTTTTAGCAAGAACCCTGCTGAGTCGGTTTAATCAGAATCCCCACTCTCAATATCCAATCATGCTTGATATCTGATCGGGTCCCTCACCCCTGCCCCTCTTCTAGACGTCTGATCCCCCTTCAGCAAGAATCCTGTTAGGTCAGCTTAGCCAGAACCCCCCTTTATCCTTCGTGTTTCCTCTTGGTAATTTTCCATCCACTGACCCCTGTCCTGCTCCTGGGCTGTAAACCCCCACCTGCCCATGCTGTACATGGAGCTGAGCCCAGTTCTACACTGACGTCTCTCTTCCCCTATTGCGATAGTCCTGAGTAAGATCTATTTTTGCTACTTTAACTACTGTCCAGCTCTGGTTTTTCTTTGACAATAATTCCACCTCCGTCATCCCTTCTATCTTGCTTCTGTCTCTCACCACACTCCCCGGCCTTTGCAAAACGACAGGAGCCTACACCCACAGGCCCTCAAAAGAGCAGCACAATGGTCACGTCAACAACACATAACACAGTGGAGGCCCTAACGCAGTGGCGTCCATGTCTCTGACTTTTCCTAACACTGCTTCCTATGAAAACATAATAGCCTGACAACCACAATTACAATGGAGTGTTAGCTGTGTACAGAGCACTTTCTCAGTGAGTAGACGACAAGGTGAAAGAGAAACAGATGATTCTAAACCCCAGCAGGATCATGAGCAAATTATTTACCCTGTCTGAGCCTGTTTCTTCATTTGTAAAATGGAGCATCATAATAACCCCCAACTTGGTTCTTGACATTTTAATGAGGTCACGTGTAGGAAAGCAGAAAGCGCTACACGAACGTTACTGGTTACAACTCAGATCCTAGTCAGAGAGCTACCAAATTCTGACCAGCCAAATTTTTAAAAATTATATTTTCTGAAGATATTATTTTTACTGGGAAAAACATAATGATATCGTTCAAGAAAAAATTAAGCAATAACTTTAGTTGCCCATAGTTCCGCCACAGTAACACAACTTTTAAATTGTTACGGTTTACCTTCAACCGATACACCTATTTTTTAGAGTGTTTTAATCATACTTAGGCAGTTTCTTAAAGCATCTATGGTTCCAAGCAAACGACAGAATCTCCAGGCAGCAGAAAAACACTGAGGCACGTGCTGGAAGGAAAAGGCCCAATTCTCAGAATTCCCCACCCAGGAGGTCACAGGATTGTAAGGGGAAGAGAAAAAGAAAGGAGCCGATCTTGGGCACAGCTCCGAAGGGTCACTCTCCTTCCTGCATTGAGTCTGAGCTCCTAAGAATCAGGAGTTGGTGCTGGACCTTGCCCTATCCAGAGCTGAAGGGCTGGCCACGTCCTGGTGGCATCTTCCCAGCCAGAGGACTGCTCAGGGACCCCTAGGGCTGAGGGAGGGGCAGTGGAGCCCGCCCCAACCCCCAACCACCTGGGAAAAGGAAGCAGAAAAAAGAGAAACAGCAGCAGTCACCACACTTCCTCCACATCTCACTCTTGGGACATTACTGACTGGCAGAAAGCAGCCACACAGGAGCCGCAGAGGAGGAGCTTTGGGCCACAGCCTAATAACACGGAGGTAACTTCAGTGTTTTCTCTTCTACCCCCGGGATGAGGAATGAACAGAGGCTGTCTTATTTTCCTCCGGGGGCAGCTGAAATATTCTCCTGGTGGTGAGATGTCCCTTCACCTGTCCCAGCCAGGTTTCCTCTGACTAAGTTGGGAACAGGTCTTAGGCTTAAAATTTGAGATTCTTGAAAAACGTGAGTAGTGTTCTAGAGGTGATTTACCTGGGTAAGACGTTGGAAGAAACCACTTTGCTCTGACTGGTAAATTTGTCCCCAGTTGACAGTATTTATGAATAGCCAGTGTTTACAGGGCACGCTGCTGGTCCTGCGGGGAGTTCCAAGGGCAGCAGGAGTTACTATGAGCCGGGGCCACCCTCTTCCCTCAGTGCACTGGACCCAAGATAGCGTCCATTTCAGGGTCTAGGCTTACAGGAGGAACAGGAGGCTAAAAGCCACAAACTAGCAAGAATTGAAGACATCTTTTGGTCATTGCTACTGAACTAGGAATGTCTGACTGGAGCTTCCTTTCGCCTCCTTCTCTAACTGCTGAGGAATGTGAGCCCACTTTCTCTGAAGCGGCCTTCCCCC